AGTGACTTCATGAAACACATTACGTGCTGTTTCCTTGTTCGTGTGTATGTAAACAAGCTTGTCTAGGCTGTGTCCCACACCACCGTAAGTATCGAGACGGAAGTACTTTTCATATCCTTGTGACTTGTGCCATTTTACACAGTTTGTGGTTCGGGTGTGCGAGTCCAGTATTTCAGACTCGGGTCCGAGTAATTATGAAATACTCGAGTGAGTATTCGAGTACTCAAGTACTCGGATTTGAGCACAGACCTATTTTACTGTTTGCTGAAGTCTTAAACAAATTCTACTAATTAATCAATAATGCCCATATTCCAAAAACAGAAAAAGAAATGTTGTTAATGATAAAAACAAACAACAAGCAACGATTAAAAAATTACTCAGATGATTTGAATGGTGCAGAACGAAAAAAGAAAAGCATCACATTATTAAAATGATACATACAATGCAGCAGCAAACAAAATACATGTAAGCGTAAATTGCAAGATCTTTGTTTCTACTAGTAAAAGCCCATTCAGTGTTAGAAAGTAAGTACTCTAATAATTAGCCCAGTTAAAGTACTCAAAGATTTTGGATTCGAGTTGTTACTCGAGTATTTAAAAACTATTTGAGCGAGTACTTGGAAGTGTCGTCAGCCCAGTCGCTATCGTGCTAGACTACGGCTATGTGTTTTTGAGCTCTGGCTGTTTTGTTTAGTTTTCAAGGTTCTCAACCCCGTCTAGCTCGGTCCTATCGGAGACGGACGTTAAATCCGGAGTTCTCGCCAGTTAAATAATCTAATAGTGTTGATAAGACCGTTGAAGCCATTCACTAACTAACTTTATTTACTTTACTTACTTTTACTATATCTATCTAAACATATTTTTGTTTTCAGAAGTCTTTGAATAGATGTTAAGGAATTCGACATACTTTGCCTAGTCTTGTTACGGATGAATAGATGAATGGTAATTCGGAAATCGCGCCTCTTAAAGTGTTAATAGGGGCGTTTAATCCGTTCACTTACTTTATCTACTCCTAGTAGGGTTAACTAAATATTTTTTTCCAAAGACTTTTGAGGAGATGTTGAGGAATTCGACATACTTTTTACTTTAATTACTCCAAATGAGACTAACTAAGTATATTCTTTTTCAAAAGTCTTAGAGAGGATGTTAGGAACATACTTTGCCCAGTCCTGTGGCAGATGAATGGTAATTCTGAGTTCCCACCTCTCGAATAATCGAAAGAATGATAATTGATCTAAATTACATTTCGCTGGGAATTCATGGGTCTAACGACTCACTACAAGGGAGATTACATAACATAGCATTTGCACAAAGAGGTTATGAGCAGTACTATTTATTACCTCTTTGCATTTGTCCCATTTGCATAAAATGAGTGGATACTATCTTCCTATTATGACATACAGACTAGGATCACCATCACAGTTGTCATCATGTGACCCTTAGCAAAAGTGGAGGCTCCCGATTGCATCGAAGATAAACAGTTGCTGTGTTCTCTTCCTGTATTAAGACCAAGCCGACCCCAAACGCCCTTGCAGACATCAAGCGCGCCCCCTATTTCGTCAACAATGTCGACACATGCCATTACGCATGGCTCATCATTTCCCCCGCCGCCATGACAGAAAACGTCATTTTTGGAGTCCTCAGGCATATTATCTAAGTTGCCAGTACCGGAGTCGCGAGACGACGTTTTTGCTGTTGCTGTTGTATTTGCCTGGCCTGTTTGTGGTAAGTAGTAAGCCAACGAGTCTGTGAAGACAGAAGACCAAGCAGTTTCCCAAAAACTGTTCGTGATTTCGATTTCGAAGTATAGAGAGAAGATGCGTGTTGTCTTGTTTTCCTCCCAAATTCCCCTTAAAACATTGTTCTGAGGTAGGTCCGCAGTAGAGCTGAAGGGAACGGCTTTTACACGTAAAGCGTATAGAGATAAGTGATTCTGCGTCATGATATCACACTCCATAACCGACGCCATATCTCGAAATCGTTTCACAATTGTGTCTTCTTCCTCCTCGTTAGAGAGCTCTTTGACACACCCATCCTTCACTTCCTCTTCTGCTGCTGCTCCGCGTACGTCGCCACATCCGGTCGCTGACCTCATGTCTAGCGAGAAGGAAACCGCGACAGTATGTCTGTACACACATCTCCCGTCTCTCGTAGCGACAAGATGAGAGGCGCTACACAAAATCTGCTCACATTTTCCGTACGGCAGGTCGTGGCAGGTCATGAACAACCATCCGGAAAAGCCGAGGTCCAACCTGGACAGTCGCAGAGTGTTGTTCTTCCCCCTGGTGAGGAAAATCGTGACAGGGGAGGAAAACCCACCATCTTCTTGAGGCAATGCACATTCGAGAGCAGAGAACATGCTGGTACTGGTACCGGGCGCCAATGACCGTTTTCTGAAAACGTAACACAATAATATTGACAGAGTTTGAGTAAATAGACTCACACGGCTTCTTTGTGTTGGGAAAAAGCAAGAAAGACATATACAATATACTTTAAATTGTGTAACTGTGAGTGCTTTACATCCCCTTCTTGGAGGGTGATTGGAGGGCGCCACTGATAGGTCCTACTTCTTTACTTTCCCTCTGTTGTTTCTGTCTCTCTGTCTTACTTCTCCCCAGCAGTGAATGACCAATACTTAGTCAATGTGCCTCTCTTTACTCTAAACAAACTCACCCCCTTCCTTATCTTAAGCTAATAATTTGACGTGAACTCCCCCCCCCCCCCAACCAAAAAAAACACAACAACAACATAAAAAAACCAAAAAACGAAGAGGGCCATTTATTCATTTACTTACTTATTTTTCTTATTTCACACATGTTTTGGGCGTGTGTGTGTGTGCGTGTGAGATTGTGTGAGCGTGTGTGTGTGTGTGTGTGTGTGTGTGTGTGTGTGTGTGAGTGTGTGTGTGTGTGTGTGTGTGTGTGTGTGTGTGTGTGTGTGAGAGAGAGAGAGAGAGAGAGAGAGAGAGAGAGAGAGAGAGAGAGAGGTGGGGAGTGGGGAAGGGGATGCATACACACCACATCTCACGCCCCTCCCCACCCCCACCCCCCCCTTGTACTCCAACTCTTAATAAGATGAACTAAAGTGAGACGAAAGATCACATGGCAGATTCGCTTCCTAATGATAATGCTGCTGCTGCTGCTGCTGCTGCTGATGATGATGATGATAATAATCTATTCCTGGAAACCATCCATGACATCTGAATCGTGAACCATTGTTCGCTTGGCCTATTGTTTATGTCTTATACGAAAGATCAGCTGTCTTCTTTTATATCAAAACACACGTTGATAGCACGCACATATATACCGCATAGCACGTGTCGGAGTCAGACAGACACACGATAATGTATACATTCATTTGCACTGTGCGAGCTAGACGAGGTACAGGTCAGACCTACAGAGCCACTCTGGGACCGGCCTAACTGTGTGTGCATGTGTCTGGGGGAGGGTCCCGGCCTAGACTGTCAGAGAACGTATAAGAACGTATAGGGTCCGGCACAAGCGGTCCGGGCGTGGAACGTCAGTAAAAATACAAACGCTTCGCAGTTTTTCCCCCGGCTACTGATCAACGTTAAAATGACAAGGTGGTCTTAACATAGTACATTCACGCAATGAATTGCGCTCTAGACTGGTGGAACCCAACATTGCCGTATGCTAGGGTTTACACAACATCATCACCTGTTCGGCAAACAGTACGTGAAAGAATGATAAATACTCAGGCGTACATTTAAATGAATTGGCCCTTTTGCAAATTATGTGTTTGGTAGAGTTCAGAGTATTCTCCTGAAACTGTACAGCATTTCTTCGGTATAGCACCAAAGAAACGAAACTGCCTCTCATTTAAAAACCAAAGTACTTTTGATCGAGAAAGTCGAATGCATTACTTGCTTGGTGGCTGTAATTATTATCTCCACAATAACCTCATGTTCGCTTTTGCGAACACCCGGATTCAACAAAATTTAGAGTCAGGCTCGACAACGTCGTTGAATCCGAGTTTCACTGTAATAATAATAATAATAATAATAATAATAATAATAATAATAATAATAATAAAAATAATAATAATAATAATAATAATAATAGTAAAAAAAATAAAAATAATAATAGTAATAATAATAATAATAATAATAATAATAATAATAATAATAATAATAATAATAATAGTACCACATAATAATACTTAATAATAGCAATATAATAATTCCAATAATAATAATAATTTTGATAATAATAATAATAATATTAATAATACTTCTAATAATAATAATAATAATAATAATAATAATTGCATTTATACACTGTATACCCAGGCACCACAGTATGCTCTATGACTATATGCTCTACCACCCTACCCCAGCAGGTCCTTGAACACTCAGAAACATTCTGGGCTCTCCAGGAGGCTTACAGTTACAGTATAAGCTGCAGCTTTCACGCGCCCAAAACCCTAACAAACTGACACGATCTTTCATGTCCGGGAACTAGGCCTACTGGGAACTCCACCTCACCGGGAGAAGAACTAAAGTGAGATGAAAGACGGCATGAAAGATTCGCATCTTACCTGGGAACGTTTATCATGAGCTCCCACAGACGTACCATAGTCATGTTTTTGTTTTAGTAGAGGTTTTACGGCGCTCGCAACTGTATAAGGTCATATGAGCGCCAAGGGGTGGATGTTAACAGAGAAACCTAACAGGGAATCAGATTTACTCTGCTCACCTGTCTAGTTTCAACAGCACAAAGTCTGCTTCGACTATCAAAGCACCCCAGAAATAGCGGGCCACAAGAGTATGACAAACATACAAAAGAAAGAGAGGAAAATGACGATAGAACGAGAAATGCCCCCCCCCCCCCACCCTTTAGGAATGGCCTAAAGACACTTCAGTCAGTGGCACCATCATAGTCAGCGGTTCTTCTACGGTGCAGGTGGACATCGAGAAACTGACGCTAAATCAACACCTTGGCATTATTATATGACTGGTGTCTCTATTAATTAAAAAAAACAACCTTTAATCCATCACGTTACTTACTTGGGAACGTTTTTCATGAGCTCCCATAGGTGCTCTGTTGTCTGCGGATCTATGTTGATAGAAAGCTGGAAACTGACGTAGCCAAAGGTGAACGGCGAGAGAGGCGTCACCAGTTGCTTGAGGTAGATGTTGTGGTATATCGTGTTTGACTGTGGGACGCCTACAGGGATCAGAGACCTGGGCAGATGTCATAATGTGTAGCTAGATATTTGTAATATAGATTTATTTATTGGTTTGTTTGAGTAAAAAGAAGCACATCGATAAAATGAGTTTCAATTAGTGCTGGGAAAAAACCAAGACAAATAGACAGAAACTTGAAGTTTACTAACAGTGTCTGTTTGTTTTGTTTTAGTAAAGCGAAACACATTAACACAGTAATGGTCATTTAGTGCTAGGAAAAAAATGAAGACAGACAAATAGACAGAAACAGCAGAGAGAAAGTAAAGGCGTAAGGTTCAGTGGCGCCTTCCAACCACCCGCATACCAGAATGAGAAGCTAGATACTCTCAGTGGAGAAAAGCAATAGAGAGATCTTATACTAATTGTACAATAGCACTTGCAGAAGAACAATAGAGCAAAATTATGGTTAACAATAGACAAGAGTATCAAATATAAGAACATTCGAGAGGTATAATGTTTTGTTTTGTTTGTTTCAGTAAAGCGAAGCACATCGACACATCATCATCATCATCATCATCAATGCCTTTCACCCCTGGCAGGGTATAGGCCACATACAAGCTCCTTCCATTTATCTCTGTCCTGTGCCATCCTTCCAAGCTCGTTCCAAGTGAGCTTCATTTCTCTCATGTCCCTTTCCACGCATCTCCTCCATGTTTCCCGTGGCCTACCCCTGACTCGTGCTCCTTGTGGGTTCCACTGCAGTGACTGTCTTGTGATGTTTCCGCTGGGCTTTGATCATCCTTCCCTGTGTGGTTCATCACTGTCATTTCCTGAATAAATAAAAAGCTCCCCCTCTTTCATTCGCTTCTGTCCAGACTGGTTCAAGTGGGTCTCGCTGATTCCCGGTATGTGTAGTTGGTATCTGTGCATTTCTTGGTTGTTGTTATCGATCCAGAGTGCATTTCTTGGAGAACTTCTGCAGTTTTTCAGGCCTTATAAAGGGTCCTAACGTTCCACGAGCCGATCCGAAGAGACTTGGACTTGGATGCTGGTGGAGGCTTCTGCCCAGCAGCTTCCTTTCGGCTTTCACTGCCTTGCATCATAAACTCTCCATTTGGAGAAGATCCACGATCAGACAAGCAGAGATAATGGTTTTTGTTTGTGTGTGTTTCTGTAACAGGTTCTTTTTACGAAAGAGGTTGTTAGCCTCATGACTCAACCCCCGACCTGGAGGCAGGATGGCTCTGTTTCAGGAGTCACTACCTGGTTCGCCATTTAGTCGCCTCGTACGACACGCTAGCACCACGTCAGTCCTATTCTTCTCAACGCCGAGACTGCACGGCTAACATCGACACAGTAATGTGCTTGGGAAAAAGTAAGACAGACAGAAACAACAGAAGGAAAGTGAACATGTAAGTTCTACCAGCAGCGCTCTCCAACCGTCCGCGAGCAGTAGAGAGATATATAATGATGTACAAAATTCGTGGGGCAACTGATTGTCAAATATATCCTTAACTATAAAAAATAAAGTCTCCAGATTTTGCTTAATGACTTGTCTTAACAGATCAATATTTTTGTAAACACCTGTTAGCTTTATTCTAGAAAAATCCTGAGAAAACTCTAATAAAAAATCCCAGTGGGTGGTTTCTATACATTTTAAACGTTTTACAGATAGGACAATATCGCTTTTAAAAACAAGTCCGTCATTTTTTTCTAATCGCGACACTACATTTATTGAACACATGCTTTGAAAACTTTTACTTTTATTGCAAACAAGTGTTCTCTATAAAATTATTTTAAAAAAACTAATTTTGCCACTAAAAATGTCATTGTTTAGCAGCAGCGTAAGCCATGTGATTATGAAAAATGTGTGTGAGAAGCTGGAAGTGCTGTGAACAATCCCATTTTACGCCTGACGGAGATTTGTAGTAATTTATATTCATTTATGAAGAAAAGTTTTAAAATCAAACCTCAGTTGCTGTTGAAAAAATGTGATTAAGTTAAGAGAAATTAATAACAACTGCTGTGCGAAGTATGCATGATACTGATTCACCCGTTAAAAAGACATTTAAGGATAAGTTTGCGCCATTTTTTGACCGCACTATAGTAGAACAATAGCAGAGAACAACAGAGCAACATAGTAGAACAATAGGGAAATGTGGAAGAATAAGAGAGATGTGGGAGAATAATGGGGAGATGTAATTATTGTAATAATAGAGTAGTTCAGAAATAGTAAACGAATTCAACAGAATATACAATATAGCAAAAGAGAATCGCAACGGAACAATAAAGAGACATTGGAGAACAGTAGAAGAATAAGGAATAATAACAGCTGATGTTATTATGGAATAATAAAAGAAGACATTGTAGAACAATAGAGAGACATAATGGAACAATAAACAGGCAGAGCAAAATAATAAAGACATATAATAATAAAAAGATATAGTAAAAGAATTATAAAAAGATACAGTAGAACAACCAGAAGGTACTAGAAGACTGGCAAGAGCAATAGCAGTGCCAATATGGAAGAAGAAGGGCAGAAAAAAAGGACTGCAACACATTTAGGCGCATATAAATACTCAGTCATGGAGAAAATAGTTATGTAAACAAAAGTCTTATTGGGTTGTTGGATGGTGCCACTCACTGGTAGGTCCTACTACTTTAATTTCCCTCTGTTGTTTCTGTCTATCTATCTTTCTTTTTCCCAACCTCCAACATTATGGCATCGGGGGGCAACTACAGAACAATCGTAGAGCAATCTGCACCAACAGTAAGATGGCAGTCCTTGTCACCGGGGGAACATCTGACTGGTTCCTTAAAACATCTGGTCTTAGACAGGGCTGTGTTCTCGCCTCGCTGTTCTTTGTTACCTTTATGGACACGATTACGAGGGAGCCTTACCCAAAACAGGAGGCACCCAAGGAACCCCTTCTTTGATTGTTTGTTTATTAGAGTTAACAGGAGAACATCGATACACTTATGGTTATTTAGTGCTGGGGAAAGCAAAAGAAACAACAGAGAGAAAGTAAAGAAGTAGGACCTATGAGTGGCGCCTTCCAACCACCAGCATTTTCCTCTAAAACTTACATGATGGAGGAGAACGCGTCTGCGGTGTCAGGAATCTCAAGAATGGTGGGAGCAATAAGAATATGAACGAGGTAATTGGACAGATCTGGGTTACAGTTTCCCCCCAAGATATAGAACACAATACCATCTACCATGGGGATTGCGCATGAGTAAGTCACGGGTCCACAACACACAGAGACAGCGAGGCAGGCTTTCTCGCACGAGCAGTCAGGATATGATACACAGTCAACGGGGCATTCAGGACGGGGATCCGAGCTATTATCGGCCTCTGTCTCGATGCCGAATCCCGCGTTATTGTTGTTTTTGTTGTTGCTGTTGTTGTTGTTATGGTTGTTGTTGTTGTTGTTGCTGCTGCTGCTGCATGTTTCCAGAAAATCTGTCCCACTCTCGTTGATTTGACACCAACGAGGCACGTCCGGGAAGAGGTGATTGAAAAACAGTTCGCCGTCTTTATCATGCCGAGGCGGCGTTATTACACCACTGGTGTTCTTGTCATCGTCGTCGTTGTTGTTGTCGCCATCGGCGATAGCAGTCGAGAGGTGAGAGTTGTTCCTCCTGATGGCAGGCGACAGGAAGGAGTTGGTAGTACTTCCGCTTCCGCCCAGCTTATCTCTCTTCTGAGATGAAACTTCCGTTTCGTGTTCATTACTTATCGCCGATACAGTTTGCGACGAAAACTCAAAGAAAAACAGTAAAACGATTCGACAACCTGTGAGTTTCATGTTGAACTGTGTCAGCCGTGCAAAGTAGATTCCGATGACGTTTGAGTGGTTAGCTCTCACTCGTTTCTCACAAAGCACTTCGTTTCGCACTACTGTGAACGAAAGGATGGCACAAGTTTGATGACTGCTTCTACACAAATAAAAACATTTACGAAACAAATGAACACACATTACGATGATGCTATTATGTATAGAATCTATCACGTCCCTCAAAATTGACGAGTGCCTGATTCCACCGCATCGTGATACATTTCTAGAATTTTTGGTTTAGAACATCTAAACGGCTGGCCAGACGAAATAATTAATAAAAAACCACAGGTTTATCAACCGTAATAAATGTGTAAACGAGGTTATGGTAAATGTGTTATGACCGTCTTGAGACAATACAACCTTGACATCCTTTAGCCCGGTTAAAAAACCCGGAGAGTTATTATTTTAAAAACCTCCTTTGTCCCCCTCTTCTGTCAGATAAAGGAGAAGGCAGGTGGCTATAGGCTACTGGTAGGTCCTACTTCTTCACTTTTCCTCTGATATCTCTGTCTATTTTACTTTTTCGCGATACTAAATGATCCCAGTTGTGAAGATGTGCTTCACTTTACTCAGACAAACAAAACAAACAAATAAACAAGCAAACAAACACTGTCTTGAGACAATATAGTCCTCCAGCCTGCTTCAAAAGAACGGAGAGATATTATAAGAACCCTTTGTCCACCCCTCTGTCACATTAAGGAGAACATTATCAAACAGCAGAAGACAGATTCCCACCACAGTTCCACACCGCATTTCTTATAGAAGCCAAAGCCTTGACGATGACAGTCCTGCATTAGATTTAATTTAAAAGTAATCTCGAAAACATGAGCGAAATCTGATTAATTCTACAACTTTAGACTGGTCAAAATCATGCAAGCACTCGTACCGTAGTCAGCTTAATTTTCATCAACGAAGCAGCTGATTCTGGATCAAATTAATTATCAGCATGCGTTGTTAGCTTCCAAACTGAGTGGGTGGTTGACGGGTGCTATTAGTCCGAGAGCTGGGTCTATATAAAGTACTAGAACCTTGTTTTTCATCATAAAGTTTTTTTCTTTGGTGATTCTGCTTCCTCGGGGTCTCTAGACTTCATATCAGTCGGGGGCCAACTTGTATCTTATGGGCATAATTTTTTCTGCTTGTTGAAATACACCAACCCGTATCATGTAGGAATGATGAAGGAGCGACTAGGGCTGGGCAATGAGTCGCTTTACCAAAATACGGATAATATGTTAGTACACCTCTTCGGCAAATTATATGTTATGAACCGCTTCGGCAAAAGCTCTTAGATAAACAGGTTAGCATTACTTCATCAACAAATGGGTACACTCACTGCGGCAAACGGGTCAGGAAAGAGAGTTTAGAGTCTGAATTCAGATAATATTTCATTGAAAATTATCCGGTTATCAGGATAGTTTATCCGGATTTTACCCACCTCTATACACTGTACGAGTCGACCAAGATTCGCGCGAGGGTACTAGGCGTAACACTATAGCTCCTCTCGCCGTGATGTCACAGGATGCACCGAAAGGTGCACCGCACGGCCTGCTGTAATATGGACTCAGCTAGCAAAGGAAGGAGACATTGGCAGACAGTGCTTCGTCACACCACCCCTCCTTAGAAACAAAGAATGTAGGAAACCGCTACGTCACCACGAGGACGTGATGCGATCAGGCTGGTTCATGCAACATGCACATGCATACACACAGTGTCTCTCTCAATTACTTTTAAACTCATACGGATGCGATAAAGAACCCACCGCTGATCAAATCGAGACGGATTAGTGGTCTACTAGAAGCAAGCTGGCAACGAGATGATGGACTCAATCAGAGACTTTCAGATGATGCTGAGTTTATACTGCGTCACAAGAACTGTGTGAGCACACATTGTTCCAGAGACCATATTAAGCGATTTTTACTAAAGCAAAAGACTGAGGAACTTTCTGAAGAAGAACTCAAACGTCATAAGGGTAGTACTAGTTCGTTTCATTTTCACGAACATTGGTTTTTTTGTGTGTGGAGAAGCATGCTGACTGATACTCCCGAAAACACCCAGATCGTTGGAAAAAGCCTACTTATTATGCCGAACTGGAGAGGAGAAAAGGAGGAAGATCACCAAAGAAGAACTACCAAAAAAAAAACGTGCCAAGGAACGTGGGGACAAATGGGGAATGGATGTCAGTTTCCGTGTGTCATCAACAGTCAGTGATTTAGCAGACGCTAGGTATCAGAGAGACTGCCACTCCTGGTTCTACACAAACTATCCAACGTAATCAACTAGCTCACCTACAAAGCATGACTATGTCATCGGTATGCTGGTTGACGACATTCGATGAAACAAATCACGAATGTGGAATAGTGTGGAAGT